GTTTAGCAAGGCATGGGAGAAGTTGGTTGCTATGCTGAGAGTTTGGAGGTGTGAAGCCTGGCTATCACTGAGATAACATGGCCCGTGAATTGTATCAAAAGTAGAGTTTAATTCCAAGGAAATCTTGGGGATTATACTTTTAAATAAGAGTGTATTCAGTGGGGAAGAACCTCAAAATTGTAGCATTTTAGAGATAAGGTAAGGTGAGAGAGTTTCACTGCAGTGAAGATATGGAACATTGTGAAGAAAAGCTAGTTCGTCCTGCTCTGATGGTACATGATCCACATGCCACTTTCTGTTAGCTGATTTTAATGCAGTGTGCATCATTACTTTTTTTTTTCTCTTTGCAGTGTTGACACAATTTCATTGCTTGCTCAGTACACTCTAAGTGAACCTTCCTGGAAGTTTCTTTGCACTCAAGGCGAGTGTATGATCAAAGAACTGTTGGCCTTGCTGAGTGTATTCTTCACGTCAGTTATTAAGGGTTTTGTGCCCACCTCCCCCAGCCTCCTTTTTGAGGATGAAGCAGGAATAGTTGAAAAAAAGGAAAACCATGCAAAAATGGTATTGTTTGTACGTGAAAACCTTCAGTCAGCTTAGGCAGGAGAGGTAACGAAGGTGAAAGGAAAGAAGAAAATTGAAGGAAGGAATGATGGAGCGCAGGACAAGTAGGAATTGAGGGAAGACGGTACAGACGGGAAACAAATGACGATGGGTGGAATTGTAAAGCTCTGAATCCCTCCCTCACCTTTCCTTGAACCCTGTCCTTGCACCTTCAGGCCCCTCTATTCAATGAGCCTTGTGGCTTTTTCCAGTGCTAGTCACCCAACCATAATGATCTATCATTGATCTGTGACAGAGGGATTCTCTCGCCACTTAAAGCCACTTACGTGAGTGTATGTGTGCCTCCATATGTGTGTCTCCTTGCTGATCTGCAGCTCAAAGGATGTTGTCAGACCCGGTCAAGTCCAAGCATGCCCCAGAGTTTCACTGACTTACATTCATCATCATTGCACCTTGTTAATGGCCACACACTGCTATGGTACGGCCTGTCCTTATGCACAACAGTAGGATTGTCGGGATCAACATAAAAGTGTTCAGCCGAGGTTTTCATGCACCTGGAGCTGTCAGGCAGTAAGATGTTATTTTTTTCTAATTTTTCTGGGTGTGTAAGATTTAGGGGGATCTAGTGGTGAGGGTTGCAGATTGCAACCAGCTGAAGCTTCTCTTGGTTAGACGTTCTTCAGTCTTAATTGTGCAGGGTTTTTTTATTGGGAGCAATATTATCTGCAGAGGTCTTTAACATTACAAATCAGTGCTTGTCTAACACAGTTTGGCTCATCGCAGGCGGGCCGCTTGCCGCTTTTCTCTGAAAACTTAATGTATACTCACCTTAATTGTGATCCAGATGTTTCAGGAGGGTTTTCCCGGGAGCCAAATTATCTGCTGGAGTCCCCTCCTCTCCAAAACACAACTATTCCATTGCTGCCAATAGATCCCAGTAAATCTTACACACTGAACCTTTAAATGTATTTTTAAAAATGAGTAGTTTCATGCCCTAGTATTCTGAAATATAATCTTCAATGATTACCTGCAATTTACATATTATTCTCAAACCTCCTCTAGACCTATTATATTTCATTGCCTCAGAAATATCTTCTCCTCATGTTATTTTGAAATCAATTCAAATTTGAGCTGCTATTATCTGATACGTTAAACCGAATAAAGGTTGTCAAGTGAAGGTTTAAAAAAATGATAATAATTGTGTCTTATTGTGAAATAGCAGTTACAGCATGGAAATGGAAACTCCTATTGTTGATCCAGCAGTAAGAAAGAGACCTCAGTGCACTTAAATCAATGTAAATATCCTTCATAGGCTGCTATTTTTGCAAGACAACTGCAGAAAGATGAACAAAAGCAACTGTGTTCAATGGCATTAGATTATATAAGGCAATGGAATAAATTCTTCACGCCCATCATCATTACCATCATCATAATGATACCCTCCATCACTTTTCTATTACACCTTCTTGCCATCACCATCAATTATCCCCACAACCACAAATCATCGGGACAGAGCTTGTGCAGATTTCTCACCGGAGTGTATCCTGAAGAAGATTGAGGTCTAATTGTGTGCGTTGGTGGCAGGGGATATAAAGCACGGAAAAAAAAAATAAAGAAAGGAAAATCAATGCCTTAACTAAAGGAGCAAGTGAATTATTGATGAGGAGTATGTAATGGGATCCCAAGTGTCTATTTCTCCCCAGCTTGGACTGCTTGCTGCTCAGGCTGCTACAGTCGTAGAAACAAGGAAGGTGCCAAAAACCACCAGCGAACATCTCCGCAGGCAGATTAGCTAACCTGAATTATCTGGTGCAGTTTGGCTGACACTGCTTGCTGTGGTGTTTACATACTCGTACAGGAAGAAGCACGTGTCCGGATGCTACTGCCACAGTAAACCTATACAGTCAAGCACAAGGGCTGTCACTTTCTCAAGATGTTTAAATGAATTTGGACTAACATGTATTAGAACACAACCCACGCAGCTAAACTCCATAGAAATAATGTTGCTCCATTCATTGGCCATCTCTGCCTTGCATGAGTGACAAGTCAGTGTTGGCAGTAAGGCAGTTGCATTTCAAGTCAGCAAACAGTTCTACCTTTAATCACAATTTTTCCATCCCTGGTGTCGAATCCAGTAACCTTTCTTTAGTTAATTCTTGGATGGTTTGGTGTTCTGATTATCTGTTAAGCACAGCTCACAAGGCTTCTCTGTTTCACGTTAGCGAAGACAACAACAACAACACATCAGAGTGTTGGAGAGCAAGGCACAGCTACACTGAGAATGTAGAATTTGAGCAGATCATTACAGATTGATTATTTCATTTTATTTTCACATTCAAAGATTTGTCTCAATTTTGAGTAAAAGGTGACAGTCCTATTAAGTATGTCCATATAAGGCTGTAATCTGATCTCTGTTGATCAGTCCATGTATAATATTTTTGATTAATCTGCATTGTTGTGGATTTTTTGTAACAAAAAAAGTGTGTAAAGACATGGTTGTAAAAGTGACATAGTTAGATTTCTTGTTTTGTCCAACCAACAGGTGAAATTAAAAATATACTATGCAGGATTTTCCTTTAAAAAAACGATGTATAGACACATAGAGAAGTAATCTCTCTCAGTCATCACTTATGACCCACTAAAAGTGTGTGGTGGTGTATGTTGAGGTCAAACCAAATGTTTGTTATGTTTGCACTGTAAAGGACAATTATTTATTAATTTACATACATCGTTTCAGTACAATGCTGTTGACAAAACTTTGCTTTTTAACTTAAATTGTAGGATTTCGTTCTGATTTGTGGATTGAGATTGTAGAACCAGGCCTCCAGGAAGTGCGTCAGGCTTTGAAGCCAATTTTCATATTGGCCAAACAGTGGACTTACAACTTCCATCACATGACGCCATTGGGCCCAAAAAGACCTTTTCCCAATGACTCACATTATAAAAGAGACATCTTTAAATCAGTGGATACATTTTTTGAGAGCAATAACCCCCATGAAATGACTTGTTCCACCATTAAGATTTGATTTGATTAACATTTGAAAAGTCTAGATGAGCCACACAATGAAATCATTTTGTCCCCATTCAAGTTAGCAAAATGCTAATCTGGAAGTAGCTGGCAGAAGTTTTTTGTGCGCCTGCTCTGTGGCTCAGTGATGCGGAAGCAGTGCCTCCAGTGCTGTATCTCCTTATATATCCATGTGTGGAAACACTTAAGTGTGTGGTTCCTGTTGAAAACCAGCAGATAAACAGTGGTCAAGCTAAAAACAGCACTCACTAAACAACATAAAGTACACCCACAAATTATAATCATAAGTAAAAGCAGTTAAATTCACACATAAATTCGTATTTCCTCTACCCTTTTGGGGTGGGGAAATCGGATGATGCATTGTTTACCCACATCACCCGTGTGTTGTTTGTTTTATTGCAAGCAGAGAAGGCAGGCATCACTTCTGCTTGGCTGGAGAAGAGGCAGACACGGGGAATGTGAATGAGAGGTAGAGAGAGAGAGAGCGGCCAGGTGAGACCTGAAAGCTGCCTTTGTGTGGCAGCTGGCAGTACGAACACTGCCCTTCACTGTGAGCCATTCCACACACACACACACACACACACACACACACACACACACACACACACACACACACCATATACTGTACATGCTGGGGAGTTATGGGGGGATGTTTGGCAAAAAATATGAGGCTGAAAAACCGTTGCAAGTTTGCATATGTAACAAAAAAAAGCCTTCACTCGTTCCCTCCAAGGTGAACGGACATTTCAGGACCATAAAGTTGCTCTGTTTTCCTTCTGTGTTTCCAAATCTCCATTTCAGATGCTAAACACTCTCTTATTTTCTCCTTCACTTCACCTCAACTGTATCTGGCTCAGTTCAACTGGAGCTTGAAGAGCATGATAATATCTAGTCCTGTATAAGACGATTCCAGAAGTCAGCACACATCTCATATGAGCCTGTGAATATCCAGATTTTTCACAGGAATGTGGAGGCCAGAGAGGGATGCAGATGGGAGGAGGTGGACTTCAGGAAGAGATGGTTTTGATGTGTGGGTAATCAGGGATGGATGGCTTTTTGAAAGTGCACTGAGCTGTACTTTTCCCTCACTTTCCTCTTTATGAGCTCTAGCTGAAGAGAAAATTTGACAGTTTAAAACCCTGTGCTGCCAGTGAAACATTACCCAGCTGTGCTACTTTATTGACATTTGATTATATGTGTGTATTAAATGCTATTGCGGTTGCAGATTACATGTCTGACCAAAATGAAAAGCAAATGAAAGCTTATACCCGTAGGACAATCAAAGGTGTTAGTTATGGCATCTTGCTTTGAGACAGCAGTTTCATGACTAATCCCGGAGCAAGTCTCCGTGTTGCGGCAGCTCCCTCTGTGTACTGATCTGTATTCTTGTTTGTTTACTTCTCCCCAGGAGGGGCCCTGCAGACGGCAGTCGCGCCAGGCACCATGAGGCAGCAAGCTTGGCCTGAGAGAGCGGAGAAATCACCCTTCATCACTCTCAACCGGGCTGGGCAGCGGAGGAAATGCACACAGAAGCAGCGCATGCCACAGCAGACACAGGCTAATACACACATCTGAGAGTACAGTGGAGAGCAAATGGGGAAGGCAGAAAGAGACTGAGAGAGGGGAGTCAGTAACTCAGATTGCGTCATTCTAAATGGCAGAGTGGACTGGGCCACCCTCAGAGGCGGTGATGTCCTTGTTAACGCATTGTCCTTCGTTAGAACCTCCTTGTTAGAAATCACAAGTCAGTCCCCCGCCCCTGTGAGGCTACAGAGCTGAGGGGCAGAGGAGAGGAAAAACAGAGGACGAGAGAGAGAGACCGAGCGGAAAAAAGAGACTGTGACAGGCCCCCATGCAGGCCCGTAAGAAGTATGTTCTGCTGGGCTTGTGTGCGTGCTGCTGGCTGGTCCTCTTTTACTGGGGTGGAGGAGTCCAGCTACGTCTGCTCCGGCTGCTGACACGCCAGCGGGGTGAAGTGGTGCGCCCCTGGCCCAACTGGACCGACAGGGCTTTCCTACCCCGCTATGCCCACCTGGATGAGCTCCAGACGGACCCTGGGACGGCTGAGTCGCCCCGCCAGCGCCGTCAGGCCTGGTCTGCCATTTATAAGGACAGTCGCTGCCGCATGGAGACCTGTTTTGACTTCTCACGATGTCGCCGCAGAGGAAGGGAAGGGTTCAGGGTGTATATATATCCATCAGAGAAAAATGATCTTGTGTCAGAAAGCTACAGGAAGATCTTGACGTCCATAGGTGAGTCCCGTTACTACACATCAGACCCCCGTGAAGCATGCCTGTTCGTGCTCGGGATAGACACCTTAGATCGGGACCAGCTATCAGGACAGTTTGTGCCCAATGTGGATGAACGTATCCGTGGTTACCCGCTGTGGAATGACGGGCGGAACCACCTGATCTTCAACCTGTACTCAGGCACCTGGCCTAACTACACAGAGGACCTGGGCTTCAACATCGGCCAGGCCATCTTAGCCAAAGCCAGCCTCAACACAGAACACTTCAGGCCAGGCTTTGACGTCTCCATCCCGCTGTTCTCAAAAGATCACCCGCAGAAGGGTGGAGAGCGGGGCTGGCTGGTGAGAAACACCATACCCCCACGAAGGAAGTACCTGCTTATGTTCAAGGGGAAGCGTTATCTGACAGGCATCGGCTCAGACACCAGAAATGCACTCCATCACATCCACAATGGGAAGGACATTGTGTCGTTGACGACATGCCGCCATGGGAAGGACTGGGAGAAGCACAAAGACGCCCGCTGTGACCATGACAACCTGGAATATGAGAGGTAAGTCAGTGATCACATGGCCAGTGGGGAGGGCAGTAATGACGTGATGTTAAAATGAGAAGCAAGGTGCAAGGGACTGTGGCGCTATGCAGGGATTTTTAGGAAACAATGTCAAGTGTTATTTTTTTATGGGAAATACACAGTGGTGTTGTTCCGTTTGACTTTGTATTTGAACTTAACATGCTGTTTTATTGGTCTTTTAGATGTCACTGATTTTCTACAAGCAGTGTAGCTTTTGGGTCCCACTGGTTATTTTTGTCTCTTTTTTTTTATGGCTGCACAAGTTTTGCACTGTCTGGGTTTATGATGTTTGGCAGTTGCTTTCGAGATCAAAGATTTTAGACAAGTCTCTGGAAATTTAGATTCAGGTCACTGTTTACAGCAGTTCTTGCATTAGTGTTGTTAAAAGAACAGCCAAACAGTGGTGGTAATGTGCTCCACTCCTAACAGCTGACCTTGAGTTCTTCTATTATTCAGAGTGTAAATAAACTGTACAGTATGTTAGACAAACAAATGAGTATTGTGAGGAAAATGCGGTCATTTCCATTTTGTTTTTGGGTGTTTACTACTATAAGACCAAGAAAAAAACAGCTGCAGCTAATTAATTACAACTGAAACTGCACTGCATAAAGAGCCAGAGCAAAGGTCACCACAGAGAATAGCTTGGTGAAATCTCTGATTACCTCAGAGAATAAACCGCTGATGGGTGTGAGCTGTGAATGGTTATTCTCTTTTAAAGTCAGTCTGTCCATTTTGTCTTAAGGTTTTCTTGCTGTTGTTGTTGCATGGGAGATGAGCTTAACATTTCCACTTTGGTTTTTAATTAGTTTACTAATTACATGAGGGGGTGGAGTGGATAAAATACATTGGGAAATGATGGTTCAGCAGCATCTGCAATACTTGGAGTAATGTTTGACTATTAAACCCAGCTAATTTAAAGGAACAGTGTGTAAGATTTGGGGGATTTTTTTTGGCATCTAGCTGTGACGATTGCAGATTGCAACCAGCTTAAACTCCTCTTTGTTAATTTTTTTTTAGTGTTCATCATGGACTCAGTTATTTAAACTGGTAAAAACACTGAATAAAGCAGTTTTACAATACAAATCAGTGTTTCTCCAACATTGTTTGGCCTGTTGCAGACAGGCTCCCCCCCAGCTTCAGCTAATGTGTGCCAACCTATTTTCTCTGATACTTAATGCGTGCTGACCTTATTTCTGATCCAGACGTTCAGGGGTTCTTTACCACAAGCTGAATTATCCACAGAGGTCTCTTCGTCTCCAGTACAAACAGTCCCAGTGATTTAAACCAGTAAAGCAGTTTCATATTTCTTTACAGAGGGGTTTCTAACTACGGTGGCCAATGTGAAAACATAAAAACATAAATGGTCCTATCTAGAGCCAGTTTTTGGTTTGTCCGTTCTAGGCTACTGTAGAAACATGGTGGTGCTACATGGCAATCTCCGTAGACGAGGGCCCACTCCCTATGTAAATATAAATAAAACACAATGATTCTTCTTTTGAGCTGATTATGCACTAAAGAAAACATACTTATAATATTATGTTCCATTTCTGCCAACATACCCCTCTAAGTCCTACACACTGGACATTAAAGCATATGACCTTTGCTTGAGTGTGCTATAGACAGTTCGTACAAAAGCATATACCATTATACAATTTGTATTTCCACTTGAGCCCTGTGTGCTGTATAAACCTTTTCACAGAGTGGTTTTAAAGTATGCCAGTGCCATTGTTGAGTTAATAATGAAAAGCTTTAGGAAACACACCCATCTGCCTAATACATGTTGCAGCAGCAGCTTGGTAAACATGTCTCATCTTCAGAGTACTTTTTCTCCTACTGGTTTATTGGAGCTCAGACAGTGTTTTAAAAACAGATGGAAATAGATGCATGTACACAATAGGAACTTTTTTTAGCGCAGAAATTGTCATTCAGATTTTCCGGAAATTTATATTAAAGGTATAAAGGGTTTAGTTTCTTGCTAAGTCATTATCTTCTGTTCTATACAGTAGTCATTGCATAGTTGATATGCAGTAGAGGACCTATACTGCCCTATACCACAGCCCCTCTGTTTCACTCCTTCTTGCTTAACTTACACTTTGCAATGAAAGTCTCTGAAGCTGAAGTGCTGACAGAGCTCCTCATTATAAAGTCTGTGCCTGTCCATTCGTACACAGATACCAAGGATAGTCTGATGGTGCAGAACATTCATAGACAGGAGAAGATGGATTTCAGTGAAAGGAAGAATGAGAATAAGGAGTTAGAGCCACACCAAAATGTCTATTAAAGTTAGAGTCGACTCCTCGACAGTAAAACTGCAAAGCTAGAGTGATCAACACAGCCATATTCCATTATAAGACAATGAATAGAAAAGGATAATTTAAGTGTTTGGAAGTTTGGGGGGAATAATTCATTGTCTTATTCATACTCTAAAAGCTAGTATAAAGGGAAGTCAAAAGCAAGAGAATCAAAACAGATTTGTGGAAGACTAAAGCTAATTAAAATGTTATAGTTCAGTTGTTTTTTTTTTTGGTTGTTGGTTCCATTTCCGATACTTGCCTGAACATCTATAGCCTCTACATGCAAAAAAGTCCACTTAGGTTCATCCATGTGGTTGCGAATAAGTGTGGAAAAAGCTTGGTGACGTAGTGACTTTTCATAGGTCTAGTTACTGGATACTCGAGCTGCTAACATGCTAGGGATGTCCTGATTTTGCCAAGTGGTCCTGAGAACAACATTTTGTATGATAACCCTGGGACAACAACTGCCTCAGCCAATCAATGTTTGTGATGTCATCAGTGCCCTGAAAGTTTTACTTAAGTTTACACTAGTCTGCTACTACAGACATTAAAATATATATTTGCTTTTTAGATTAATTGTTAGTATTTTGCCACCATGGAAATAAGCTCACATTAGCTTGCAAAGGTGAGCTAACAGTCAGCCAGCTAGGGCGCTAGCTGCTTAGTATTAACTCCTCAATCACAACAGATTACTCAAACGTGAACTTTTATTCCTGCTCATTTTAGAAAGGCCACTACAAGAAATTGTGTTCTTTGTTTGGATTGTCAAAGGGACAGTGAGTCATAGATGTTTCTGGCTGGTAAAGTCAATGGGCTAGCTTTAGTGCGCTAGCATTTCCATGCTAAGGCCATTTTCCCTTGTTGGTTCTGTATTTTGCAGGGCACTGGCAGCAGGGGTCTCTTTGATGACATCACAAACATTGATTGGCAGAGGCAGTTGTTGCCCCAGGGCTACCATACAAAATGGGACATGCTAGCCAGTTACAAAAGCTCTTAGAGCTCTTAAATCAAATAACTCATATTTAAATGTGAAATAGAAGCTAGACATTTTAAGTTAAATTTACTTGAAATTAACTAAACCATTCAAGTTAATGATAGAATACTTTTTTTTTAATCAATGCCTGGCCTATATAGTTTTACAGTGTACTATTTTTTTTAACTGTATCTGCATCACTGAAAGGCTTCTTCTCTGTAGGACTGACCAAACTTTTCTGGCGTAAGGGACTCCAACTGCTAAACCCCAATTTAAATCTAATTCACTGGGAGGAGGAAGTTGTTTTCACGTGCTATGAAATGAATGCTCAAAGCAATAGGACTTTTCAAATATCGTTTAACCTGGGAACAGCAATTCTGTGATGGTTGGGATCCAAACACACTCCTTGCTCCTGTGGCTTATAACTACCTACCTTAGGCTTGTTTACATTGGGCTGGGCAGCAAAGGGATGGAGCTGCTCAACACTGTATGAATGAGCTCATTTATTCCACACAGCCCGCTACTCAGACACCCGGGTGGGCAGGGGGTGTGTGGGGTGGGTTGAGGTGGGGTGGGGAGGATAGTGGGGGAGGTCCCATGTGGTATTTAGTGGTAGATCTGGACATGGCAATGGCTCTGAGGGTGTGAATGGGGGAGGCAGCGTGAGGGACAGCTGCCGTTTGTTAGAAAAGCACAAAAAGCTGGATGATTTTTTTCCCCCCCTTCCCTTTTGTATAAAGTTTCTTTCTGTGGAAACGGGAAGCTTTTAGCTTCAGAGAGAGGGGTGTGATGGAGGGATGTGGGGGGGATAGAGGAAAGGTGAGGGATCCATCTCTCTTGAAATCTCCCTTTGGGTAGGGGAGAAGTGGGTCTCAGAGGGGAGAGTATGGAAACTGTTGAAACCAAATGACCAAAAAAAATCAAAACAATAAATAAACAAGGTTTCTGTTTGAAACCCATGTGAGACACACCCTCGCCTCTCCATCTGTCTGCTGGCATATTCTCTCTCTCTTATGTCTTTCCTTCAGTCTTTCTATCCTTTTCTTCCACTCTTCTCTCTTGTTTTGCCAAAAATCCTGCACCTGAAAAAGCAGTATGCTAATAATAACTGTCCAAGTCACCAAGCAGAGCATGTGCGTTTGTATGTGCGACTGTCACTGCTATATATGCATGAGATTGTGTCTGTGTTTGAGAGACTGTCACGGTCAATGAGGCTCTTAGAAGGTGGCACCAGGTTAATGAGCGCATGCATCTGGTACATGAGCAGATTAGCCCTGAGGGACCTGGACAAGACAGCAACCAACGGACAAAGGGCACAAGAGGGGGGAGGCGGAGGAAGTAGGAGGGAGGGGTGCTCAGGCAGACAGATCAATAGACCGTCATGACATTATTTGAAAACCTCAACATCCCAACCCCTTCTTAAATGCACAAGATAATTAAAAGGACTGCGTCTGCCTCCAAGGATAACCCAAACAGTTTTGTTTTTTACAGTGAACCTAATTTGTATTTTTCCTGATAAAAAATGATAAAATGGCTAAAATAGCATGATACAACTCATTAACTAATTATTATAAGTAGGGCTTGGTGATATGGAGAAAATCAAATATTACAATTGTTTTTTTTGTTGTTGTTTTTTTGTACCAAATACTCTGATATCTATATTGCAAAGATATTGTAGGGTTGACTACAGGCGCTTCCACAAAATATTTTAT